GCACATGACTGTAAAGCTGCCGCCCAGTTGGGTGGGTGTGGAGCACATGACTGTAAAGCTGCCGCCCAGTTGGGTGGGTGTGGAGCACATGACTGTAAAGCTGCCGCCCAGTTGGGTGGGTGTGGAGCACATGACTGTAAAGCTGCCGCCCAGTTGGGTGGGTGTGGAGCACATGACTGTAAAGCTGCCGCCCAGTTGGGTGGGTGTGGAGCATGACTAGTAACTGTGTGACTCATCATAGATGTAATTTGCCTTGTATAGTGACTGTTGTGAGCCTCTTGTTGATCACTTGTGACTCAAAAGATAAGACTATTAAGGTGTGTATTTGTGTGGGGTGATTAAATATGTATATATATATATATATATATATATATATATATATATATATATATATATATATATATATATATATGTACATGTATGTATGAGTATGTGTACATGTATATATTACATTAATAATTTTGTAACTAGCGTCAAACGATTATTATTTGCTTAGCTAAACGAACTAGAGGGTTCAGTTCCTGAAGCGATTATGTGCCACTGTAATCCTTTACACCACCGCCCAAGGGATGGGGATGGGGTGCATAATAAAGAAAAAAAATTGAAATTGAACCATACAGGGCAGGTCCATATCTCACCAAATTATTGTTCTCGTGTTTTCTGTGACAACAACGGACATTCAGGACCAGACAGGCTCCTCTCAGCACACGCACGTGGAATATATGTTACTGAATTGATATTACTTACTCACTTCCCTCTGCCTCTGAGGATGCTAAGTTGTACCGAGTAAAATTCATCAGACATATTATCACTGTGTAGGATTTTTTCCTGGGTAGTGTTATTTCATAATTGGTTATGTCTCCAAAACATAGAAAATGGCTGTTATTCCCTACAAGCTTTTCATTTGTGACCAGGACAGTCATATTTTGAAATTTTTCCTATTTATTCCAATAGATCAGTGTTGATATATATATATAAATATAAAATATAAAAACAAAGGCATTTTAGTTTAGTTTAATTTCAGCTGTTTAAGTGGAAGTATGATGAATACAGCTAAGATGGCATCGCAGACGTTAAAATAGTGTCATTTCCGATGGGTCTTCAAGGCAGTTTTCACGTTTTCATTCTGTCTTTGTCTCTGGTACAGCAGGGACACCAAGGCGGTATAGCAGACCAAGATCTCTGTGGGGAAGAACAACGTCAAGTGGGAGTTCATGCAAACACTGCACATGTAATTGGGCTTTATAAATATATTTTCGCAGCGCTAGATATGAAGTCGGCAGCCTTGACGTACCTTCAGGACTTCTTCTCTAAGCTATCTGAGTCAAAAATCGAGGTTCGGTCCCGGCAGCCAACGGAAAAACAAGTGGGCGGAGTTTCCTTCACCCTGATACCCCTGTTACCTAGCAGTAAATAGGTACCTGGGAGTTACACAGCTGTTACGGGCTGCTTCCTGGGTGTATATGTATGTGTGAAAGGAAAAATAAATAGTAGTTAGTCACAGTTGATTGATTTGACAGTTGAGAGGCAGCTCGAAAGAGCAGAGCTCAACCCCCGCAAGCACAACTAGGTGAATACAGCCCTCTTATGCTACCTATTATAGACCCAGAACTAAACCTCTTATCATATATCTATGACAATCATGACTTTAATGATCAAAATTGCAGGTATTATACAGCACATGATGTAAATATATTAACAAATAATCACAATATTTCTGTAATTAACTTCAATGTACGATCTCTAAGCAAACACTTTAATGGTGTTAGTGCCCTAATTCAAACAGTTGACAACAAATTCACCTTTGTTATGCTTACTGAAACGTGGTTAAAAAAGGATTCAACACAACTCTTTAACATACCAAACTACTCAGCAATTAACAATTGTCGACCAATTCAGAGAGGTGGTGGTACTGCTCTTTAGTACTACCAAGAACTGACATGCTTAAAAGTAATTAGAACTAGAGACTCCTGTGGTGAGTATATCTTTGCCCGTTCCAGAGTCAAGGGTGCCGAGGCTGACCTGACTGTGGGAGCAATTTTCAGAATTCCAAACGCTGATGTGTCTGAATTAATCTCTAACCTCAGAAATCTAATACTAGCAAACAGACTTAACAAACACCAATTAATAATCTCTGGGGATTTTAATATTGACCTCTGTGAGCCTGATAACCCTCAAGCTGCTAGTTTTCTTAACTATATGAATTCCTGCTTACTCATACCCTCAGTCACTAAATCTATTAGAATCATTAATACGACTGCCTCTACTCCTGACCACATCTGGACTAACATAATCTCTCCACTTCAGCGATAATTACCGATAGGACCACAGACCATTACCCCACATTTCTTCTAACCAACATTAATAAACCGCCTCGAGATACAATGAAGATAAGATTTAGGCTGCACAATGAAACTTCTATAAGCAACTTTATTGATGCTGCTGCTGCTAATATCAACTGGGATACTGAATTAGGTAACATAGTGAACATCAACCTAGCAGTGCAAACATTTCTTCAGGAAACTCCGAGCCTCTGTAACACCCACTGTCCAATGCTAACGAAACGAGTCACAACTAAAAGGTTAAACAATCCATGGCTTACTAAGGGCATACTTATATCCATTAATAAAAAAACATGACCATGAAAAGAAGTATAGGTTAGGGATCATCTCTAAAGAATTTTCAATTAGATACTCATCAGTGCTGTCTAAAATAATTAGGAGAGCCAAAATAAAATATTATAAAAATAAATTTAACCAAATTAATGGCAACATTAAGAAAACATGGAGCACTATTTCTCAAATATTAGGATCAAAAATATTTTGAATAAGAAAACTAATAATTTATCCAATGATGGTGTGCTTTCAGCCTCTGTCACTGCTATTAAATTCAATAGTTTCTTCTCATCCATTGCAAATGATATCTCATCCTCCCTCACTAATATTAAGGACTACCTTACAGGAAACTATACAGAATCTCTGTACCTAACTCCCACTAATTCCTCTGATGTTAATGAGATAATCCTTTCTCTTAAAACAAAGTCAAGTGCCCTTGCTGAGATACCAACTTTGACTTAAAAGCCTCCAGATTTCAAAAGCCTCCAATGAGTGGTGGCTGGAGTGGAGTTCCATGCTTCCAGCCTCCAAAAAAGCCTCCAAATTTCTAGCTCCCGCCATTACATTATTCTACAACAAATCACTTTAACTCCAAATCTTTCCAAAAGAGCTGTTCACTTGAGACACATAAGCAAGTCCCAGCTGTGTCTGGGTACAAGTGACAGGATGAACAACCCAGCGGGTTTTCTTCCTATTGGGGAGTGTTGTACATGCTGCTATGGCGGTATGTCCACTCACAAGATGAGTGGCGCTGCCCAATAAACTCGCCACTCGGGGAAAAATTAAAAAAAAAAAAAAAAAAAAAAAAGCGAGAGTAACCTCATTCCACAAATGTGGTGATCTCAGTGATGTCAACAACTTCGGACCTATATCTATTCTGCCATCCTTGTCAAAAATATTTGAAAAGCTAATCTACAAGCAGCTTTTCTCTTATCTAGCTTAACACAATATACTTTTCTCTTGCCAATATGGCTTCAGACCTCAAAAATGCACTAACAATGCGCTAATTTGTATGATTAACTTGACACATGAATCTTTTGATAAAAGTGAGTTCCCTGTTGGGTTACTTATTTACCTCCGTAAGGCTTTTTACACTGTCAACCACCACAACCTTCTTCTCAAATTACAGCATTATGGAGTCAGAGGTTCAATACCCTCAGTCTTACCTTAGTGATAGTCTCCAGTATGTTTCTATGAATGATTCCATTTTTTCCACCCTACCCATCAACATTGGTGTTCCACAAAGCACCATACTTGGCCCTCTCATTTTTCTCATATACATTAATGACCTTCCAAATGCCTCTCAACACCTCAACCCAATTTTATTTGCTGATGACAAAACTTTCATTTTCTTTTCTACTGAGCTTAATAACGTCCATCTTTGGCTAACTGCTAACAAACTCACTCTTAACATAGATAAAACCTTCAATATTTTGTTTGGTAATAAATCCTCAGATCAAATTAATCTAAGAATAAACAATATGAAAATTTAGTAACAAAGTAGATGGTAAATTCCTTGGTGTTTTCATCGATAGCAAGCTGAATTTCCAGGGACACATTCAAAATATAGCAAAAAAAGTTTCTAAAACTGTAAGCATTCTTTCTAAGATCAGATATTATGTACCTCGCCCTGCCCTGGTAACGCTCTATTACTCTCTCATCTATCCTTATCTCAATTATGGTATTTGTGCTTGGGGTTCTGTGACCCAAAATCATCTACGTCCTCTAATTACTCAACACAAATCTGCTATTAGAACCATAACAAACTGGCCCCAGACAGCACTCGGCACCCTTACTTAAATCTTTGACTATGTTAGATATTAAATCACTGCACACATCCTCTTAACTGTTCTCTATATATTTAAAACTGAACTGTAATGACAGTCATAACCTTAAAAGCGTCCTAGAAGGTTGTAATAAAACCAAATACTTATTTGGTATGGGCACCACACCAGAAACAAATACCTATTTGGTATTATATACTTCTCAGCCTACTATGCAAGGCCCGATTTGCCTAATAAGCCAGGTTTTCCTGAATTAATATATTTTCTCTAATTTTTTTCTTATGAAATGATAGAGCTACCCATTTCATTATGTATGAGATAAAAAAAAATTTATTGGAATTAAAATTAACGTAGATATGTGACCGAACCTAACCAACCCTACCTAACCTAACCTAACCTATCTTTCTAGGTTAGGTTAGGTTAGGTAGCCGAAAATGTTAGGTTAGGTTAGGTTAGGTTAGGTAGGTTAGGTAGTCGAAAAACTAATAATTCATGAAAACTTGGCTTATTAGGCAAATCGGGCCTTGCATAGTAGGCTAAGAAGTGCGTTCTGGCTACTAGGTACGATATATATATATATATATATATATATATATATATATATATATATATATATATATATATATATATATATTCAGGAAAACTTGGCTTATTAGGCAAATCTGGCCTTGCATAGCAAGCCTAGTACGACGTATATATATATATATATATATATATATATATATATATATATATATATATATATATATATATATATATATATATATATATATGTCGTACCTAGTAGCCAGAACGCACTTCTCAGCCTACTATGCATGGCCTGATTTGCCTAATAAGCCAAGTTTTCATGAATTAATGTTTTTTCGACTACCTAACCTACCTAACCTAACCTAACCTAACTTTTTCTGCTACCTAACCGAACCTAACCTATAGAGATAAGTTAGGTTAGGTTAGGTAGGGTTGGTTAGGTTTGGTCATATATCTACGTTAATTTTAACTCCAATAAAAAAAATTGACCTCATACATAATGAAATGGGTAGCTTTATCATTTCATAAAAAAAAAATTAGAGAAAATATATTAATTCAAGAAAACTTGGCTTATTAGGCAAATCAGGCCTTGCATAGTAGGCTGAAAAGTGCATTCTGGCTACTAGGTACGACATATATATATATATATATATATATATATATATATATATATATATATATATATATATATATATATATATACATATATATTGTGACGATAATCTCTTTCAAGAGAGATTGAGCCTGCTCTTCCCTACCTTAAGTTACGTTTATTCTACAAGTATAAGATGCTACATTCAAGATACGTCCACCAGTAGCACAAAACGTTTTGACCAGGAGGCAAAACGTATCCAAGAATAACCCCAACTCCACACTCCCTCCACGCCGGCTCGTCATCAACCAGCTAACTACCCTTCCCAGCCTGCCTGCTCCTGATTGGTGACTTGCCGACTGCACACCTGCACACTGCACCTCAGCGCCATCTACCTGAGTCGATGTCTGAGCTTGAACCAGCCATCAACTTCAGAATATTCTTTGTGCTCTAAGAGTTCACATCTCTCTCTGGCATACTAAGCTCTCTGGCTCTGTATACTAAGGGAGGTCTCAGCCATAGCCAATATTCTCAGCACCTGATTATTTTTCACTGTATATTTATATTATTGTAGAATAACTTCATCCCTATTAATCATTTATGTTATATTGTTTTTTGACTTGTTTAATTGCACTGTTCATTACCACGGGACTTGTCTTTATTTTTATTTGTGTTTAAAGTATATTAAAGTTTCATTGTTCATACTTTGTGTTTTACGTGTTCCTCCCTCTCACTGACCACAGACAACAGGCAAGCAGTCTATCTTTTTTTTTTGTAAATGTGACAGGCATTGACACCTGCCATTGGAGGACTGCCGAACATCTACACTCCAACACTTTCCCGTCATAATATATATATATATATATAATCAGATTCATGTGCTATATCTGATATATGTATTATATATATATCAGACATGTGTTATACATCTGAGATACATATGTCATTGAATATGGCTGGAAGAGTTCTGTCAAGATTCATTCCAGAATTATTGACCGAACTCTTTCAGCCATATTCAATGACATATGTATCTCAGATGTATAACACATGTCTGATATTTATATAATACATATATCAGATATAGCACATGAATCTGAGATATAACATATACCTAAAATGTAACTCGTGCATCACACACATAACACAAGGCCCTCAGATGTAGGTGGCCCTTCATAAAGCCCTGGTTGTGGCACCACTTGGGGCCTCCAGACACTGCCAGGGTGTTCAGTAAAGCTCTGGAATGAATGACCCTTGTCCTATTGCGACTGAGTGGGTTAAGATAAATGTCTGGGAATCACTACAACGCCGGTTCGAGTCACCTCATTGCCCCCAAATGTTTTTATCATCATAATTCACTTCATTGTGATTTCTTTGTATTGTAAAGAAGTGACGTAGTAGTGGGAACCCCATTACCCGCTGTCCAGAGTGTAGGTGGCCATTCGGAAAATTCTGGTTGTGATATAACACATGTATCTCAGATATAACACATGTATCCCGGATATAACACATGCATCTCGAAGTTAACACGCGTATCTCAGATATAGTTGAATTACATTTACGTGTTTTTTAATAAAAGGTAATTATGGATCTAGTGAAAACAGCTCATTATTATTATGTCAATGGAAATATTATTTAAAAAATTAAATCATAATAAAAGCATTAAGACTCAACTTACCGCTGTCAGTCCAGTTAGCTAACGCTATATTGTTGTCAATGAGTGACAATGCAAGCGCAGTATTCTCTATCGCCATCGCCCTTTCAGCTGCAAATCCTGTAAAAAAATAGAAAAAAGTTGTTCATATAAATTTATGTAAAAGTAAAAACGTTTGAGCTTCATCTTTGTCGATTTTTAATTTTATGATACTATTTTAATTTTAATTTTATATTCACAAGCATTGATAATTAACTATTATAAGTATTTTAACTATTGATACTCGCATGACTTATGCAAACTCCTAATGGAGTTTTGTAGGACCTTTGTGGGAGACAGGCGTGTTATTGACCGCTCCTGGTAATAGGAGTGGCTGGATACCTTGCGACGTTGTGTTCATCCACCGAGTGATCTAGTGACTTTTTTTTATAAAGATATGGCAGAAGAGGCTTGCCTGAGTGATGGGGGAAACTGTTCCAAATCTGACGTTGAGGATCACCAACAAGACGGTTTTAGTTGATTGACAGTTGAGAGCCGGGACCAAAGAGCCAGAGCTCAACTCCCCCCCCCCACGCAAGCACAACTAGGTGAGTACAACTAGATGAGTACAAGAAGACTCAAGCCCATTTCAAGAAGTTATGTCGAGGAAGAAGAAGAAAAAGATCATGGACAGACGCTTGATTCAGAGGAGTGGTGACGGCAATCGACCGAAGAGCAGCAGTAACCGACACCAGACGGACCAGGAGCACCTCAACAGGAGCTCCTCACCTGACAGATGCGACAGGAACACGCACGTCAGGTAGGACAGATTAAGAAGAGGAAAGGGCTGTTATTTCCTTCGACATGTGAACGGAATTTTCACCAGAAGTTGGAATGGACGGTTCAACTAGCCATGGAATCTGGTGAATTTGAACCATTTTTTAAAAAGGAAAGTGTTCACCGACCCTACATAACAGTTGGGACAGAAGAAGCAGCAGTGGAACATTTAACGACTGACGGGTTTAATAATGTTGTTTTGGTTCCTCATGAAAGCGGAATCACTCAAATGAAAGTAATTGCTTTCAGGTACCAAGCTTATCTAGACTCTGAGTACATTTATGTTAACAATGAAAATGTCGTACGGGGCGAGGAGAGACATTATACGCGGTGACGAACAAAGCCAGGTAGTTGCGCTGTTGAAGCAATCCGTCCTCCAAACAAAGACCCAAAAGTGATTCCATGCACCCACCAAACCCCCTATTTATGAATAAAAAAACGTTTTACACACAACTCACAACTGATTTCGTTCGAACACTTCCGGAACAAGTGCTTCACTGACGAATTTTGTTCGAACCACAACGCTGTAAATGCTTCACTACAAATATAAATAATCGTCAACAGATCCTAAACACCTAACCTAACCTATGCTGTACAAATTAATGAATGCGTCTGTGGGGTCGACTGCTGAATGTAATGGACTTTAGTCGAGGACGGGTTGGTTGAAGAGTGAGGTTTCAGATAAAATTGTTGTGCGGGGCTGAATACGCCGAAGAACCTATATTATGCATAAAGTGTTCTCGTTGGTGACATATGGTTTGGAAATTCCTGTTTTACTCCAGATGTCGGTACTGCGCAAAGAAACACGACTCGCGAGAGTGTAGTCAGGTTTGAAAAAGCAGAACAATTCTTGCCATGTTGCTGTAATTGTCGAGGCCTCCACAATACTGGTTCCTGTATATGCCCCATGCGAGAGATTCGAAGCCGGCACCCACAAGTAGGGTAAACGAAGCTCCGAAGGGAGACAAGATCGTACAGCAGGAACAAGGAAGAAACAGTGGAGAGGCAACGATAACCCGTGTGACCAATAGTTGGGAAGAGGAACGGCGACAATTAAGACTAGCCCAGTGGCAGTAGACAACGATACTGAAAAGTGTACCCTCGTGGCGATAAGGTTCAGGACAACGTAGTAAATTCTGAGGGGTTGTACACAGATCTTGGAATACCCCAAAAACCTAGACAAGAGGAGTGAAGCATTAGAAAAGATAGGTATGGCAGGTAGATGGAGTGATGTGGTAAGTGAAGGCAGGTAGATGGAGTGATGTGGTAAGTGAAGTGGGGAGTCAGACGGAGTAGAAGAGAGTAAGGAAGAGCATGAAGTATCGGTGAAAGAAGGTAGTCAGGAAACACAGAAATGATATATATAAATGAGAAAATCCATTTCCTCATTGATATATATCACGTTAGAGTGATTTCTGTGTGTTTCTGAAGTCGGGACGTAAGGTGTGGGACCACTCTACCCTTCCAACCGAGTGCTTGTGAGTCATACGTAAACACTGGGACTGGCTTCAGTAGGGGCCTCCAAACTTCTTGTGATTTCAGTAGAAATCCGATTGTATAACTTTTCCAAGTCAGCAGTGGTCTAGTGGCAGAGTCTGGAGAGTTCTGGAGAGAGTCACACGTGGTGTCCGTAGGGTCCGCGAATAACATCAATTATCTCGAGACATTGAAGTCTTACGGAGACAAGAAACATAGTTTTTTGTCACAGGAGTGTACGCAAACGCAGTGATCAAGTGTATAGTGAGCTCCTACAGCGGTAGAGCAATTAAGAAAGCAAAAATAAGGTCGAGTGGCAAGATCAGTGTGTACCGATGGGTCAGCCTAGCCACCCAGCCTAGCCAGGACCTACGATTTGCTTGCTGAGTGATGTGTTGTGAAGCGGATTGTAGCATACATAGTGATTGATCCCCCGAAGTGTGTGCATCGTTTAGGATTCTTTTTTTTTTTTGAGATATATACAAGAGTTGTTACATTCTTGTACAACCACTAGTACGCGTAGCGTTTCGGGCAAGTCCTTAATCCTATGGTCCCTGGAATACGATCCCCTGCCGCGAAGAATCGTTTTTTCATCCAAGTACACATTTTACTGTTGCGTTAAACAGAGGCTACAGTTAAGAATTGCGCCCAGTAAATCCTCCCCGGCCAGGATACGAACCCATGACATAGCGCTCGCGGAACGCCAGGCGAGTGTCTTACCACTACACCACGGAGACTGCTGAGGATCGTATACTAAGTGCACATAGTGGTGACGACCAGTGAGGAAGATAGGAACGAATGTTACCAGGAGCACGTGGAGACAACAGTAGCACGTGGAGACAACATTGATAGAGGAGAGGACAGGCGACCAACCCCGTCATAAGGACATCTCTTCAAACTCACCTAGGCGTGCTTGCTCGGGGTGAGCTGACAGTAGGTACCCCTCTCTAGGTCATGAATAAGATGTACAGAGTGACTTAAAATACCCAATTTACCATACCTCCGTGTGGCTCACTTGGGAACGGGGCTTGACACATGATACCCTGGTGACCGCTCACACATCCTCCCCCCCCCCCACGTTCCCACGCATTACACTGTCCCAAGACACCCCCTACCCCTCCCCCTATACACAAACACCCCCGCACTCAACACACACGCACACACGCACACACGCACACGCACACAACCTCTCTCTGAACCCTCCTGCACTAATCCACCCCCACACACCCTCACCATCCTCCTCCCTCACTTCCACCTTCCACCTCCCCCCCCATACACTCACACTCACACTCACACACACTCACACTCACACTCACACTCACACTCACACACACTCACACACACAGGGGGCCTCATAGCCTGGTGGATAGCGCGCAGGATTCGTAATTCTGTGGCGCGGGTTCGATTCCCGCACGAGGCAGAAACAAATGGGCGAAGTTTCTTTCACCCTAAGTGCCCCTGTTACCTAGCAGTAAATAGGTACCTGGGAGTTAGTCAGCTGTCACGGGCTGCTTCCTGGGGTGTGTGTGTGTGTGTGGTGTGGAAAAAAAAGAAAAGAAAAAAAAAGTAGTTAGTAAACAGTTGATTGACAGTTGAGAGGCGGGCCGAAAGAGCAAAGCTCAACCCCCGTAAAAACACAACTAGTAAACACAAACACTCACACACACACACACACACACACACACACACACACACACACACACACACACACACACACACACACACACACACACACACACACACACACACACTCTCTCTCTCTCTCTCTCTCTCTCTCTCTCTCTCTCTCTCTCTCTCTCTCTCTCTCTCTCTCTCTCTCTCTCTCTCTCTCTCTCTCTCTCTCTCTCACACATACACACTCATAGGGAAATCATGGAAGGGATACGAACTCGGGCTGGCAAACGCAGGAGGACAATCGCAGCTGGAACAAACACAGAGGATAGGGGGGGGGGGGTAACAGGAAGCCTGGATGAAGGAAGTACTCCAGCAAATGCGAAATGAATTCAGTGAAATACTGAGGGTAATGAGGGAGACAGTAGCCAACCTGCAAGATGATCTAAGGGCAGCAAAGGAGGAGATAAGATGCCTAAAGGAGACTCTTCCACAATACCAGACACAAGCCGTACCTCAGGGAGATGGGAATGCTACTGTGGAGGGGACCACCACAACCCAGATCTCATTTGCTGAAATGCTTAAAAAGAGCCCTGAAGCTAGGTCTGCAGTTAAGGAAGTTGCCATGGAAGTGGCTTCCTCTCAGGAAGCAGCTAGATGTACTAGCCGGCTGATAGAGAGAAAAAGAGCAGTAGTAGTAGCAGGCATTAAAGAGCAAACAGGGACCAGCCCAAAGGAACGGAGAGACAAGGACAAAAACGCAGTTACCGAGATCCTCAATAGGTAAGGATGGAGGGAACTGACCAAAATGTTGAAAAGGTCTTCAGGCTTGGAAAGTTCAACAAGTACAGGGACTGAATGATAAAGGTGGTATTCATGAGCGAAATCACGAAAGAGGAACTGTTAGCAAGGAAGAGCGGTCTAGCAAATGTTCCGAAGTTCAAAAAAGTATTCCTGCAGAGGGATATGACAAGGGAAGAGAGAATATAAGCAGCAGACCGGAGGAAGGAGTGCAGGGAGAGAGAAAGGATTCAGAGTACCACAACCCGGAACCCTACAATCCCAGAGGGAAGTGGAGAACCCTCCTCAAACAGTGCAACAGCCACAGGGCTTGGGGCACCACCCCCACATTCTACCCAACAGACACCCAACCTGCCCCATCCCCTGTCAGCCCCCCACTAAGTGCCCACCTAGGGCACCCTCCCCCTCCTCCCACT